TGTCTGTCTACAAAGAGCAATGTCAAAGGCTGACAGACTTAAACAGCTAGGTCTGAAAAACTAAAAGGATTCTAAATTTAATACCAGGAGAGAAACCAAATATTTACTTGCCACTGAACTTAAATGGAGACGTGCACACATATACTTCAATGGACATGTCAGGGTAACACTGTCTCAAAAAAAAGGAAAACATACACAGCATTTAAATTGTAAATGGACTGTACTTATATAGCAACTTTCTGTCTAATCAAGATACTCAAAGAGCTTCACAACACAATCTGTGCCCTCATTTACCCATTCATACAGCTCTTTACTAGATCTCTACAAAGTTAGAGACTAATCAGTGCTTTAAGATCACATTCATTCATACACCAATGGGACACACACTGAAGACAATGAGGTGTTCAGTGTCTTGCCTAGGAACACTTTAATGTGGCTGCTGGTGGAATTGAACCCAGAACTTTCCCTTTGGAGGATGACCACTCTAACCACTCAGCCACAGCTGCCCCTTTTCTTAGAAATCTGAGGAAAATCAACTTCAAACTACTGCTGTCCTTCTGCTTCTGCACTGCTGGGTGTGTCCTCACTCGTGACATCATGATATGGCACGCAGCTCCGCTGCAGATGAGAAGGCACTGCAGAGAGTTGTAAAGGCTGCACAAAACATGATCAAGGAGCAGTTTGATGCTCCAGCAGCCAAACACGCCCATCTCTCTGAAACCAGAACACATCCCACATTCTCTAACATAATAAAATGATTCTGTTTCAAATCCATCATCACACTGAACTCTACCCGAGATCACACACGATAATCAGATGCAACTCTCAGTTTGTGGATTAAATACTCCTAGTTCCTAAGATTATTTCTGCATTAATATATGTATGCTTTGTTGCAGTTTTTTCTTTTTAATTAAAATATGTAGGTATGAATCAGTGAAAATTTTTATTCTACCAGAGCTCCACTTTAGGCAGCACACTGAGTTTCAGTATGTTGTTTATACAATGTTATTGGATTATCTTGATATATAAGTCAGTGAGATAAATTGATCACATTGTGGCTCTCAATCAAATCTGCTGCTTCTAGTTTTTGTCCTGACGTAACTCAGGTGTCGGCTGCAGGAAGAACATTGTGACTAAACTAATAGTTTGCTCTGGCACGTTTGTTTTGCTGTTTGTTTTTGGAAGTGTAGTTGATTTGGTCAGAACGATGGTTATCATTCGCTGCTGAAAGGCACGCGGTAAAATTCTAGAATTGCGTCGCTCAAGGTGGCTGCATGTTTGAGTAGCGCTCTTACATTCATTCTGAGATAATGATTTTGAAAACTTTAATTACCATTTTTTTCTGGATGTAATTCATTTTTTTCGGATGATAACTTCCTCTGGTATCAGATGATGTGCCGCCGGAAGGATTTTTATTGAAACCTTTTTTTACTTTTGGACATTTGTTTTGATGCGTAACCATAACAACAAGGTGGTTTTCTATAACTGGGAGCTGCTGATTAAAGTATCAAAAGCTCAAATAATACTTCAACTACAGCCCAAAAATCCCAACGAGTTGAAAAGGAGGTGCCGTGGATGCATCTCCATCTACCTGGAGGCGGTGCTCAAGTGCCTGACCACCGAGATGTTGGAGGTAGCGGGAAACAGTAGCTCGTGACAGCGGGAGGATCTACATCATCCCTCGACACCTGCAGTTAAGTCTGTGGCGATGAGGGGCTCGGCAGGCTGCTGGGAGAAATGGCCATCACTCTGGGAGGAGTTCTGCTCGACATTCAGGCAGTCCCGCTGTCCAAGAGGACCGAGAGGTCTGCTGGGTCTGGGTGGACGAATTGGCATCTGCAGCCAGTTTCTTCAGACCCGTTGAGGGATGGACTGCTACAAGAGATCCTTCCTGCCCAAAGCCATCAGCATCTACACCAACTCTAATGAAAACAGGATGAGCTACATCAACAATTAATTTCCCTTTGGGATTAATAAAATGTTTTTGAATTGAACTGAATTAATACAATTGCCTGTGTGCGTGCATGTGTGTGTTTATTTGTCTGTTGGCAAAATATTTCATAAACCAATGGACAGTTTCAAATGAAACTCTTAGAAAGTAACCATTAGGTGTACTTCTACAACCGATTAACTTTGTGAGTCAGCCCATTCAAGACGGCTACCACAGCTAATCAGCCTTTGCAAAAACAAAAATTGCAATAATTATAATAATAGTCCATTTTACAGATACTGATGTAAAATTTGGTGTTGTAGCAACAGAGAATCATCCCTAACACACTCTTAGCACACAAACGTGTAAGACTTTTGTTAAAAGCGTTGGGTTAACAGAGTTATTTGTAACAACAAGCATCAGTTTTGCTAAATATCTTTCAGCAGGCTGAAAAATCCTTCCTGCTATTTCATTTTGAAATACTGTACTGTACGTAATAAAGTTTCAATGAATAGCTAAAAAGTTACTAGTGTAAGGCAGAAAATCTGTTGCAATCATTCACAGCATACTTTAAATTCCTGGACAGTCAAGACAAATACAGGAACAGCAGCTGTCCAAATTGGATCTTTGTCCTGCTGATGGGTTATTAGACCCTTAAAGTGAGTGAACAAAAAGTATTGCTGGAGGATTATTTTACCGGTTGATGCTAAATGTAGCCAAACGAGGACAGACAAATAAAAAGAAAGCAGAGAAAGGAGACAGCAACTGTAAAGTAACAGAGTGAATGACCTTAATTCCAAAATGAGGTAAAAAATAAAAAAAAGAAATGCACACTCACACAACATCTGGTCTGTCCAGTTTTTATTCTGTATCTCACAGGAAAACTATGCTGGAAGAAGAACTTGTTATACGCAATGGGAAACAGAATGGATTCCTTCTGTACAAATCCATTCACAAAGGCGTGGACACTTGTTTGGTTTGTTCATGGGTCATTGTGCAAATATTTTAATTAAATGTGTGAGTGAGTGAACGCTAATTTCAATTTAGAAAGTGTTGGCTCTGAGATTTGTGCCTGTAAGCTTTTAAAGGAAAATATTTTACAATCTTTCGATAAATCTGATCACAAGGATTAAAACACATAAACTTACACACACACTGCAGACTGATGCAGAGGATTATAAAGCATCTTTCTGCCTCGTGCTGCATACAAGCTCATGTAGACCACCAGATTTACAGCTACTGTTTCAGTTTCACATAAGAGCAGCTGAAAGCTGAAAGGACTGACATTATTCTGTTCTAAAAGCCTGCAGGAAATGCTGTGCGGTCCTTGGCAGCAAAACACCAGACAAAAAGAAAAATCAGCTTACCTAATGGAGTGTGTGGCCCAAATACAGAAGCTGAAGTTCTGTTTGCAATCAAGTTGGACCTGATGTAAAGGGTTGCATATTTCTGTCATATCTTCTTTCATGCCGTGCCTCCAAAGGGTCAGTCAATGGTTTTAACAATTTGAAACCTAAACAGTAAAACAGAGAACACGTCAGTAAAATAGAGCATCCAAAATTTAGAAATAGACAGAAAACACACAAACAAAAAAAAACTGTTTCCCCTTTTGTTTTGCTGACAAATCTTTTGGAACTTAGCTGAAGTTTCACTTTAGCTGTTGTTTTACCTTTTCCACGAAAAAAAAAAAAAAAGTAAGTGTTTCACTGTGGGTTTGGCGTTCGTTTGGTAATGTCTTGTTTTTAAACTAAACATACTTCTTTGGAAAAATTTAATTTTGAGGTTCGTCAGATCAAACAAATTTTTTTTCCACATGCTTTTGAGAAATTTAATATAACTCAGCTTGGATGCTTTCCTGTTTGACAAAATTTTCTCTGCCTCACAGTCCATCGATTAATGTCACAATCAGAGCTATTCAACTTGATAGAGTGCTCCGAAGATAAATAAAGACAGTAATTAAATCACAAGGCGCCTCAATTAATTATTAGTGTGAAAGCTTGTGCATACATCTTGGAATTTTGTAGTTTTCCCCACAATTGAGTTGTACAGGATGTGTCCCAGTAAAGATGGGGAAAAAAATTAAATGAGTTATCATGATTCAGTTTTTTACATCACAAAACCCTGGCTTTTTAACAGTGGTGTGTAGACTTTTCATATCCACTGGACATATTTGCAAAGTGCAAAAAACATCCTGACTAGCTTGTTGCCCCTGCACTGCCCTCATGTGGTCACAACATTGTACTTTACTATACTTTGTGAGAAGAGCTGCATATCAGATGGGTGTTTAATGCACTTGCAGGCTCCAATGGGCCTCCCCTCTCAAATGAAATGCAGAGATGAGGCACTGTCTGCTGACCCACATCTTGCCTCCACCATTTCACTTCCCCCTCAAGAACCTCATTACGTCAGACTCTATAATGAGCCACACGACTAGTGGCACACTATATCCACATATTAAATGGAACATAATTGTTCTATTACTTTAAATACAACAGGATGCCTCCACATGCCTACAGATACTGATACCTCCTGTGTATTTGCAACCCCCAGTTTAATCTATCCAGCGTCTCATCATGGACTCGTCCATTTGCACATACACGGGGGGAGGACATTGTTAAATGCATTCACCATTTAAAATACAGTAATTTAATTTTTCATTATACAAGCTCAAAATTAAATTTTAGTTTTTTTTAAATAATAAAATACTGATTTTTGATATATATGTAGTCTTGACCCATATGTTGGTACGATTTGAAAACGACCACCCCCCCTATAATTATTGGTACGTTCTACACCCCGCCGTTAGCCGTTGTTGTACCCTATGCTACAGAACAGATTTACCGCGATACAAACTAGCTTCCCTCTGGTTTTAACCGGACGAAAAGATACTAATTTACGGGATTAAAGCTATAAAACAAAAGCCGAGAAGTCTGGGGAAACTTTCTTCAAGTGTGCCCAAACTTTGATAAGACTTGCAACCCAAAACCCCTTCCCTACAGTTTCCGAGTGTTAGCATTGTTTCATCTCACCGCTGACTACATCGTCTCTCCCACTGGACTCGCTCGGGTTTCCCCCCATTTCTTTTCGGATTTTAAATTATTTCGGAGCTGTTGAGTCTGATGAATTCACCGAAAAACGACGGAGACGACGACGTGCCCGTTAAAGAGCCGGTGAAATACGGAGAATTGATCATTTTAGGGTAAGTCTCTTCTTACGCCAACCAAATTAATTGTAAAAAAAATTGTGAGGACGCTCCGGCGTCAAATCAAATTAAATGAAACGAGCTCCAGCTGCACAGAAAGACAAAAGACATCGTGCCTGATGGGTCTTTAATCCAGTTGTAACGCTGAAGGATGCCGTGCTTCAATGCGTGATTGTAGTAAAATAGTGTGGCATCATTCGTGTTAGGAAGTAAGTTTTCAGTCCGGATGTTGTGGTATATCCTCGAACTATGTGGAAATGGTGTTCAGTCTGAATATATTGTGAGTTTGATTGTCATAGTCACAGAATGTGCCGTGGCCATGTACTATAAGGCTACTACGGGGTTTTCATCAATGGTTGTAGGGGGGCTGAGCAGCTCAGGCTGAAAATCCCAATGATGATGTCATCCTCTCCGTGGCTGCTAAAAGTAGCACTAAGGAAAAAAGAACACGTTGTCTGAAATGTGCATGCGCTTTGATCGGATGGTTTGGGTTGGTTATATTTGCGAAGTAGTAAAATGTCTCAGCCTGATGCTAAGGGATGAAGAGGAGGAGGAGAAACCCCCCGTTTACATCACAGTGGGCAGGATGTGCTGATGACAGCCACCAGCCTCCACAGCATTTCCAGCTCCACATTGTGCAAGATCTGCAGGGACCAGAAATGCCACAACATGCACACGTTTGTGCAGACACATGGCTCACAAGCCCCCACCACCACCTCTCCCCTTTTCAATGCAGAGCTTCCTGTGTGTGCGCCAAAGATTACTGACCCTGTGGTCTATCACTTCCCCTCCAGCTGAAGTGGAGTGAGGAGGCTGGCGTCCGCCTGCATCAGAATACTGATTAGCTGTGTCCCCCGCTATGTGAACACACTCCTACATGTCCAGTCGTTGGAGAATGGAAGTCCATCTTCTTTCAGTTCTAGGGTTTTATGCTGAAAAAAAATCAGTTTAAACCGCAAATGTACAAAAAATGACCGTGCCATATTTGGTTTGAACTAAAAGCACAATCACTTATGCAACCAAGCATGGTGGCAGAGTGGTGATGATTTGGGCTTGTTCTGCACCCACAGGACCTGGACACCTTGCAGTCATTGAGTCAATCACCCTCCAAAAGTTTTGGAACAGCAAGGCAAATTCCTTTGTTTTTGTTGTACAACTGAAGACATTTGGGTTTAAGATCAAAAGATGAGCATGAGACAAGAGCGTCAGCTTTTATTTTCTGGTATTTACATGTAGATGTGTTCAAGGAATTTGCCTTGCTGTTCCAATACTTTTGGAGGGGACTGTAACACCCTCTATTCCAAAGTACAGTTCTACAGTCAAACACGATGCCATCTGTGATTGCTAAATCCATGATGCAGCAGGACAATGTCCCCAAGCACAGCAGCAAATCTACAACAGAATGGCTGAAAAAACAAAGAATCAAGGTGCTGCAGAGGTCCAGTTAAATTCAACAACTCAGTCTGGTTGAATTGCTGTGGTGGGACCGTAGGAGAGCTCTGCAGACACAAAAGTCTACAAACCTCAATGAACTAAAGCAATATTATAAAGATGGGTGGGCCAAAGTTTCTCCACAACCATGTGAAAGCCAAATTAAAGTAATACAATAATAACTTAGTTATTTCTACTAAAGGTGGTTCTAAAGACTGAATCATAAACTTCACTTAGCTTTTCGTGCACATGGCTTTGTTTGGGTTTAATAAGCAATGATTGTTTTGTGCTTTTGTACACTTGTTAGATTTGAATACTTTTTTAGAAACCAGGGAAACACTAGATCTTTTATTTTAAGGAGGTGTACCTTATTTTCCCCATGACTGTATAAGACTGTCTGTGTGCACCGCTCGTGCACGTGTTAAAGCTAAAGAGATGGTGGTTTGAGCTCGCCTTGCAGGAATGATAGCCTCAAGGGTTTTAAAAGTATTTGATCTGTACTGGCTATTTAAAATTAGATAAATGATGCAGGAGCAGGTTGTTCTTTCCCCCAGTGTTTTCCGTCTATAATTCCCAACCCTGTTTTCCGGATGCATGGTTTTACTTTAGACGTGTCTGCTTGTCTGTGTGGTCGATACCTGCTTCACTGCAGGCCATATGATCTTTGCAGTGGCAGCATGCCATCACGCTTTTTTAATTAGCTGGTACATCGTCCATCCAACATGCATCACCACACATACACCCTCTTGTCCTTCTCATGAGTTTCCCATCCATAACCTGTCTGTGTTGCATTCCTCGTGTCTCACGCCCAGTCCCATCGCTGAGCCTTTCAGCATTCTAAGTGTTGACTTTGACAGAAGAAGGCCTCTGTGGTGCCTTGTCCTCAGCAAAAATAAACCCTGTGTTGGGGGGCAGATGGAGTGAATATTTCATATCATGCTTTTTGATATGTGCACATGCGTGATGCAGTCCAGAAGTGTACATCTCAAGGAGCTACTCCTCCATTTGACCCTCTGTTTGGTGGTGTTTTTCACCCGGTTCGAATGTTATCAGCCATTAAATGGTCGTTATTAGTTGTTATCATCCCCATATGTGCGGTCAGACTGCCCCTCTTGTACCTCCTAGTGGGTTTAAAGGTGCTTTGTTAGTGATGATAGTAGGCTCCAGTTTTTAGCTTTGTTATTGCTCATAATAGCTTCACGTGGTTAGGGTCTGGCGGTTAGGTTTAGGGTCTTGGTTAGGTTTAGGCACAAGGATAAGGAGGTTAAGTTTAGGGTTGGTCCTCTGGGTCAGGTGTAAGGTTAGGTTTAGGAAAAGGGTTACATAAGCTGAAAAAAAACCACTTCCTGGTTTACCCCCGTGCGACGCTGCCTATTATCAGCGATAATAACCTAGGAAAGTCTCACCGCTACATATGGGGATGATAACAACTAACAACGGCCAGTTAATGGGCTGATAACATCCGAAGCCGCTCTGTTTTTCCCCTTTTCTTTCTGTTTGCTTTATTTCACACTTCTCTACTTCTTACTTCTTTGTGCTTTTTCTTTGTCACTTTACTTTTATTTTTGCATGTGATTTTCACTCCTATCTCCTTTTTATCTTCTGTATTATGTCCAATTTTCTCGGCCTCCTTTATTCGTTATCTTATTCTGACACAGCTTAGTTTGATCTGACAGGCCAGGAGCATGACTCAGGTTAGCGCCGAGTCATGTTTCTTGATCGGACCTCTCGCTATAAACATCGCTGACACTTTCAGCTAGTTAGTTTTAAGTTTTTGTTCCAGGTAAAATAAATCATTTCCATTCCATCATCTTCATGGTTGCTCAGTCTGATTTGGCCTGAAGAGTCATGGACTTTGATTTTATTTTTCTTCCATTGCACCACAGTTGCACTCTGATCTGATCAAGTTTGAGGGCTTGTAAAGATTTTCTTGTATGCTGAGCTTTCTGAGGTCATTTTGTGGCGATCGTTGAAAACAAGCGTACTGCCTTCTGAATGAACTTGAAGTGTAGGAAATGATATTTCACACAAATTACAAAAAGAGAGGACCAATCTGCTGAAATCAGTCCATGCTAGCACTAGAAAAGGGTTGACTTACGCCTGATTGATTTTCATGTAGACATAAAAAGGCAGACATACTGTTCAAAACGGATTGCGTTATCATTATATGTCACTTTCTTTAAAATAATTTAATTTCATAGCCACTTGTTCTCCACCAAACAGCAGAGCCAAAGTAGTAATCAGAATCCTGATGGGTGCATGTTTTTATTGGTAACATAACCTTGTTAGGGTTGATTTGTGTGATGTTTTGAACAGAGGTCAGATGAAGAGTTGGCCTCTCTGGAGTAAACGTGGACTCTGAGTACAAGCTGAATGAGTCAGATCGAGTCCGTCTCATTGAGTCACAGCAGCTCGACATGATTCACAACTGACCCGAATGTGCCGCTTTATTCCATTTCAGAGTAATGAAGGCTGGATGTGCTTGATTAATGGACCTTTCGCTCTGATCCTTATTATTTTACAGACTTATTGACAGCATGACTAACTTTTAAAGAGATGACATGTACATTTAATAAGCAGATAAACTATCAGAGTTTTTAACAGCAGTAGTCATTATTTAAGCTCAGTAAAGTGGAATGTATGTTCAGTCCCTAGAGTCTGTGGTGTTCTTATCTGAAGCATTTTGTTTGTTTCTGTGCTCTGATCCTTTTTATTTATTTATTTGATTATTATTTTGGGGCTGGTTGTTTTGTCTCCAGGTACAATGGTTCTCTGCCATGTGGAGATCGTGGACGCAGAAAGAGCCGCTTTGCTCTTTACCGAATGGCCAAGGCCAACGGGGTCAAACCCAGTGCTGTGCACATCCTCAACACACCACAGGACAGCAAGGTACGCGTTTGCGTGTTGTACGTTTAAACAATGTGTAGGAGTTTCCTTCCTTTGGTCCTTTCTGGTTTGTGTCAGAGGAAGGAGGAATAATTATGCAGAAGGGTGTATGTGTTCATTTGGATGAGTGTGCATGCACAGTTGATAAAGATAAAAAGATTCATCACCATAAGGTCATTTTCACATGTTATTTAATATTTATAATTGAATGAGACTTCTACAGGGGTAGACATATGCTCTAGGTTGTCCAGCGGATGACCTCTTGACAGAGTCTGGTTGTTCGCCAACATTTTTGTTTTTGCAACTCTTACAATAAAGAAGGTTAAAAAAATCTCACAAAAAAATGCAATAAGTGTAGTGCACTATATACAAAATTTACTATACATATGTTCTCAGTCAGCCATCTTGTGGCCTGTTTGTGGTTTTCCAGCTACTGAGTGGCCGACTCTTTGAGGAGCTGCTCGAGTGGAACTTCCTTGTTCTCCTCATCCTCTTCCTTGTCATCAGACTTTGCACTCGCAGCATATTTAAGGCAGGGATTAAAGCAGAAATTTTTTTTTGACAGAACAATTTTGCACCTAGAGGCTACCCAAGCATTCAATTCAAAATACTTAATTAATCCCAAAGGGAAATTAAATGATGTTGTAACTCGTTAGCCTCATTTCATTAAGAGATGTTATACTGTATATGCTGATGGCTGTAGGCAGGAAGGATCGCTTGTAAAGGTCCACCCCACAGTGGATCCGAAGAAACTGACCACAGATGCTGTCCGATTCATCCTCCCGGACTCGGCTGGCCTCTCGGTTCTTCCAGGCTGCAGGATCGCTCAAATGCCGGGCAGAACTCCTCCCAGCAGCCTGCTGAGCTCCTCATTGCTGCAGACAGCCGGCTGCAGATGTCGGGGGCCAATCCTGGTCCTTCTGCTGTCACACGCCATTTTTCCTTCTAGTTCCAGGATCTCAGTGGTCAGACTCGAGCATAGCCGGCAGGTTGAAGGGAATGCATCTACGGTGCCTTCTTTTCAATTCATTTGAGATTTAGGACTGTAGTTGAGATATTATTTGAGCTTTGAAATGTTAATCAGCTGTTCCCAGTTGTAAAAAAAAAAACACCTTGTTACACGTCATAACAAATATCCAAAGGAAAAAAGTTTCAGTAACCCTTCCAGCTGCACAGCATCCGATACCAGAAGGAACAGTCATCACAAAAATGTGATTTACATCCAGAAAAAGAGGAATTAAAGTTTCCAAAAGCAAAATCTCAGAATGAAAGTAACAGTACAACATGCCCGAGCGGTGCAATTTTTAAATTCAAATTTTAAATTTTAAAATCACACAAGAACACATAAACACATGCAATATTTAATCTAATAAGCAAAGATTTTCAACCTGATAAATGATGGTCGATGGCTCAGTCAGTGAATGAATATACCTGAACTTTACAGTAGATGTGCGTTTAAGCTCACTTAGCATTAAATAAAGGTTGAATGAATGAATTACTGTAACTTTTCAATAGTTGGTGCTAAAAGAAAAAGTCTGTTTCTGAAAGTTTAGAAAATGCCCTTTACAGCCATTGTAGACTTATTACAACAGACTGACTCCTGCATCCCTCCTCCCACACAAACACACCATGAACAGATGAGCCCCGCCAGCTCTTGTCACCTCTTTATGAGGGAAGCAGGACGGGCAGGGAAAATCCTGGACTGTCCCAACCTAATCGAGACGATTGAAAACACATTTTTTCCACTTTCATTTTTACAGATGACAGAAATCCGTTCCAGCGACAGAGATTTTTAATCCGTGTTTGTTTCACTTGGTTGTCCACCACTCAACATCGAGGCGAGATGTGATTGTCCGAGATGAAAATAAGTTGTCTCGGACAAACGGAAACCTGCTTCTGTTTTTAATTTATTAATTTCTTTAACAGATAGGTCTAAGAAACACAATCAATTTAATTAATGATACAACTGGTTGCTGCTTTGTTGTTGCAGGCTGTCCACAGCAGAGGGCAGCACAGCATTTCTTTCACTCTGTCCCGTAACCAAACGGTGGTGGTGGAGTACTGCCATGACAACAACACTGACATGTTTCAGGTAACGCAGAAAGAAATGACATTTATGTTCTTTCAGCTAGCCTCCTTCAGTGATGACAATACTTCTGAAGGTGATGCATCTATGATCAGGAGCAGGTTTCTCCCAAAATACACTGTTATATAAGGCCATCAAAGCAATGCTAAAGTAGGTAATGTATTTGAAGTCAGACCTGTGACAGTTTGGGATTAAAAATAAAGGTTTGTGCGTAATAACTGTGTTTATTTTTGTGTCTAAAGCTCTGCTCTTATTATTCTGTTATCAGTTTCTTCAAGGAGCTGAATAAGCCCCGTGGCTCAAAGAAATCAAAGCAGGAACATTCATGGTTAAAATGTCCTTTTACTCTGAAGGAAAAGTGCACAAATACTAAAATGGAATGAAGTGCTTTATTTGCAAAGATGCTCTATAAAGAACATTGTTTTTTTTTATCTAAAGCATTTTCTTTAGTTTTGATCGTTCAGTGATGCATCTCTGTCACCACCAGCGATCAGCTCTGTTTTGTTTCTGTACATCAGTTTTGATGTAACAGTTCTTTTGTCTTTCTGAGTTATGTCGTTAGTAAAGGCAGCTCCTCCTTTTCTCCTGCAGATCGGACGCTCCACAGAAGGTCCCATTGACTTTGTGGTGACAGACACCTCTGGAGGGGGAAAGGAATGCGAGGACCCTTCCATCGCTCCCAGCACGATTTCACGTTTTGCCTGCAGAGTGGTGTGCGAGCGCAACCCACCATACACTGCACGCATTTACGCCGCAGGCTTTGACTCATCCAAAAATATCTTTCTAGGGGTGAGCAGACAGATGATGCACATTTTTGGAATCTAAATTTAAATAATGGAAAATTCTTTGAAAATACTTGACAGAGCTCTTAAATAACTTTTTGTGCAGGCAGAGTGATGGTTTAGTTTAAAAGATGGCTTATTCAGTAACTTTGTTTTAGGAAAAAGCAACCACATGGAAAAATCCCGATGGTCATATGGATGGTCTCACTACCAATGGGGTGTTGGTGATGCACCCTGAAGGTTTCCCAGAGGACCCAAAGCAGGGTCTGTGGAGGGAGATCTCTGTGTGTGGAGATGTTTATGCCCTGCGAGAAACGCGCTCCGGTCCCAGCCGAGGTCAACTGGTGAGTCTCTGCTGACTGGTTAACATCCAGCTACGGAGGTGTTGTGTGATTATTATTATTTTCCTCATAGTAAGCATCTATCTGTCTTTATGCCACCAACAGGCAGAAGGTGAGAGCAGCGCACTGCGTGATGGGTCCCTGGTGGATCTTTGCGGTGCCACCCTTTTGTGGCGGACAGGAGAAGGACTCGTGCATGCTCCCACTCTACGCCACCTGGAGGCTCTTCGTCAGGAACTGAATGCGTCCCGGCCTCAGTGTCCTGTAGGCCTCAGTACGCTGGCCTTCCCCAGTTTGCCCCGTAGCCACAGGTGGGTTGTAAAAGCAGAAGACTCTTATTTTTACACACAATGGGTGATCTTTGGACATCGTTGACGTTGATGTGTTGCTACAGCCTTGAAGAGCGTCAGCCTTGGGTTTACCTCGCCTGCGGCCACGTCTACGGACGCCATGACTGGGGCCTGAGATCCGAAGGAGTGGTAGAGTCACGAGAGGGCGAGGTCTCCACAGCCCTTCGAGAATGCCCGTTGTGCAGACGCGTGGGGATCTACGTGCCCCTGTGGCTGGGCTCTGAGCCTGCTGTGTATGTGGACGCAGGAGCTCCCACTCACGCCTTTGTTCCCTGTGGTCACGTCTGCTCAGAGAGGACAGTCAGGTACTGGGCAGAGACTCCTCTGCCCCACGGGACTCACGCATTCAGACCAGTCTGCCCCTTCTGCTCTGCTGCCCTCAGCAACCCCGGCTGGATACGGCTCATCTTCCAGAGCCCCATAGACTAACCGCTACTCCTCAGCAACCACTATCACAATAACAGGAAGCTGCCTGGGCTTCATACGAGTTGCAAACGTTGATGAGTTATAAAAGGTAATTACTTTAGAATGCTTAACATAACTGTTATCAAAGCATGCATGTTTTACACTCTCTGGTGTACAACTGCACTCTCCAACGTTGCTCTTGAATGTAGCTCAGTGCTGAAGAATCCACCTCCTTGTTTATCCTTCAGTGCTTCAACATCAGGAGGACCAATGAAAGTAAATACACCAGAATAATTTGTTCTGATATTAAGAGTATTTCCTTCCTCGTGCAGAAGTATATTTTTTTATTCCTGCCAAACGCAACACAAGTTTATTTTAATGAATACTTATATTTTAAAGGAGCTTAAATGATGCTGATTTACTCTTTTCGAACATCACCATATTAAATGACACGTCCTGAATTACTGTAAATTCCTTATTCACCAGGTCTAAACAGTTTTTGTCCTCATCAGATGACACTTTTAATACAATAAGTAGCTTTTTTTGCACACACAGAATGAATGGCCTTGACTGTCATGTTGTCAGCATTAATTTGCAAATCTTGTTCTAAATAATTTCCACAGTGGCACCTCTTGCACTTATCTGGCTGACATTTTACTACTTCCCACATTTTAAAGCTGTTTCTTACATTTGATTTATGTGCTTTCTTTATTTCATGTTTTTATTTGGTGATGCTAAAAGAAGGATCGTTACAAAGTACAATGAGGGTCTTTTGCCTCTATGGAGAAATTCAAATTCTGTGATCCATCAAGGCCAATTGGTTAGAATCAGTGGTCCCCAACCCTGTTCCTTGAGGAACACCATCCTGCATGTTTTAGTTGTTTCTCTGCTGCAACACACCTGATTCGGTGATTTATTTCCCTAAGTTTGGCAGAAGCCTGTTCCGTTCATTCAGATCAGGTGTGTTGGAGCAGAGGAACAACTAAAACATGCAGGATGGTGTTCCTCAGGGACCATGGTTGGGAACCACTGGGTTGGATATTGAAAAAGATAAATATTTATCTTGTGTAGATTTATTTTCCATATTTTGTTTTCACTATATGTTTAGCGGGAAATCTATGCACACACACACACAGACTCCTGAACTTCACCCCTTGTGTTGAAAAGAAAATTGTTCTTGTGGCTTCTCAATTAGTAGAGCGAGCACAACACACAGTGGGTTTTTCCTTTTTTAATGAAGCAAAATGAGGATAAACAAAGGAGGGGAGTGAAACCAGGTAAACTTCACTTCACAACTCTCTAAAGCAATAAAAGCACTTGTATTTATAAGCTAGATGTTGTGCTATATTTAGCCACGTGTTCGGTCAGCTGTCTAGTGCAACAGGTGAAAAGGTTTCCAGGTTTAAAGCTCAACCAGAGGTGTGTTCAGTGCCATGACTTTTTGACTGAAGTGTATGTGATGTAACCAAAGCACTAGAGTTTGAAAAATGAGCAGCCAATCATGTGACTGTTTGGTAATTCTAGTTGCATTATTGTTCTCAACATGTTTAAAGAACATTTGAACACACTTCTGGTTACTGAATTACGCTGAACAGGGTCCATGTTGATGTGATGGAGTGTCAGTAGGGTTTGATCTTGTATAACCTCAAAAAGTAAATTTGTTCTGTTTTAAAGAAAACTATTTTGTTAAAAATAGCTATGGGTTTATTTTGGGAAGTATTATTGAGTATTTCTTTTAGATGTTTAACATAAAAAACGTCAAACTATTTTTCTAACGGTTGGTTTAGTTAACTATTCCTACTCGGTGTAAGCAAGTTCTGTGTGCCCAGTTGTTATGTGGTAGGTTAGGAACCCCGTGAGTGACGAAACATCACCAACACTGTGTCCACTTACACACCGCTACAGTAAAACACCACCCAGACATAAATGTAGCCAAAAACTCCGGCTTTGTTCAGCCTTCGCTGGTGCTCATAATGAATGGTCTATATTGTGATACTATTTTTGTAACTGAGTATTATGGTGTAGCTTGGTGAAGTAGCTTGAAAAAAAATGTGCTTCTTTCAATAATAGCCTCAAGTATGAAAGATGAGAGGTAATTAATTATTCACACACGTGGAAAATTATGTGTAGTTTGCATGTGCTATACATACAGGATGTACACAACACGGTGCACGGCAGTTTGCAAACTTCTTACTCATTCTGAGACTGTACTCACAAATCAAGTCGTCTTCCGAGTCCTGGGTTGTTTAAATCACAGCAGTTTTCTTCAGGTAAAAAAGGTGGAGCCTAAAAAATGTGCTTTTACTTGATTACCTGATGGAGCTTTGTGGATGAGATCTTGTACTATGCTGGGTTTTTTTTCTTCCATCAAACAGATTCACTGCAATTTTAGCATTTGTTCATATTTTGCATTCAAACTCACCCGTAATGAAGGTGAGCGTAATACAGTCACTGGCAAAATTAAGGTGAAGCACCCTGATGCAGTGTTGCAATGACTGCACTGATTGATCCAATGGGTAATGGATTTGCTGGTTCCATGTTGTTTAGGTGTGGCACCCCCTCATGTCTGGATAGCAACAGAGTTATACAGCTGTTTCCTCTCCTGTTGCAAGGGCCTACAGCTGTTGAAGCTGACCCTCAAGATCAGGTACATCAGCTGTGGATGTTCAAGCTATTCTCACAAATGTTTGATTTAAATAAGAGTGGAGGAGCTGGCTGCCACTAGAGGACCTCACCATGTAGCACATGGTCCATAGACACACTGGCCTTGTGTGGATGCTGGTGTCCTGTTGAAGAAATGCACTGTAGTGCTGACTCAGGAGCAATGGCACATGTCAGCGCAGTATGCCATTGATGAGCTGCTGTGCAGTTGGGGTCCCCACACCATGATGTCAGGAGTAAGATTGTCTCTCCAACAGTTGGCCACTGTGACATCTGTATGTCCACTCGCCAGTCAGTTGTGAGCTACAACCTCCCAGTTTCAAGCAACCCCTATCAAACTCCATCAAGTTCTTGTAATGCCGTCTAACGTGTCTACAAGGCGTCCTTTGTGTCTGATGACTTTCACTCGCAGTTTAAGATGGCTGTCGGATGCTTCAGCAACTGCCTGATTACACGATCACTTGCACTGACGTTGTTCTAAACATGTAGCTCCTTGAAATGTAACTTTTTACACACCCATCACTGATCTAACTGTTCCAATGTTTACAAAACATGGACCATTCCATCTGGATGTTTAATCCTTTTTTTTCTTTTGTTGTTGTTTTTTGGTTTTGTTTTGTTTTTATCAGTGAATATGTTTTTAGAATAGGATATTTTGTTGTTGAACTCTGAATGCAAGATGTATTCTTCTGTGAATCAGTGATGTAGTGTTAATAATCTTTACAAGTCATGGTTAGTGCTCATGGATGGTAAGTCATTTTAGATCAATGGTATTCAGATGAGAATAGACAGCCACAAAAAAAGACCTAACCTGTGATGTATTGTTGCCTGGAGAAGTTCCTTGGGGGTGTCCTATGATGCGAGTTTATATTGGGTCAGCTGGAGATGTGGAGCTGGAAGGGAGAGTTTTTAATGTTTTGAAGGAGGCTCTTTCTGCTGGAATCAGTTGATTGTTACATAAACATTGAAGTATTAACCACATTTAAAGATTCATCACCTTCAAAGTGAAGCAGTGGGGAGTGGAGATGCAGAGGTTAGCAAAGGTGAGCCTGTGATCAGGAGGTCACTGGTTTGAATCCCCTGATCCTTGCATCAAAATGTGGATGAGAAAGGTGAAGCCCTGCCACCTGCCTACACCTCCATTTGCCCTACTCTAGGTCCTTGAGAAACTCCTGGGGTGGGATAGTGTTGGATAATTTAATTATCTAGTCATCAGCTCATTAAATAAATAGTCTACACAGGATGATCATTATCAACACAGGTTTTAAAAAACAAGCATCAAGATGTTGCATGGCGCTTCGTCTCACAGGGTCTGCTCACAGGCAGCATAAAGAAGTGTCTTTATATCAGACAGAGGCGAGGTCAAGACAACTCTGCTGTCCAGCTTAGGCTCTTGAAGTTTATCAGGTGAATGGGTCCGTGCTTCTGCAGGCTCCACTTTGCAAATACAAAACAACTCTTAACATACTCATGGTTATACAACATTTGACATTAGTAAGTGAAAAACATCCATGACCTTTACATCTCCCGTCAGAAAGCTCGGTGGTCTGTGGTTGCATCAACAACGGCATCCGATGTAAAAACAATTGATAAAATCTACAGTGCAAGTTCGCTGGATGTGACGACCCCCCAGGGAGCAGCTGAAAGGATAAAAAACCTTTAATTCAGTTTAATTAATGAGTTGATGTATTTTGAGCAGAAACGGGATGGAATGATTTGTGGAATGCCTCTTTATGTGACCTGGCACCGAGCCTCTATCTGAGCTGAGTTTTAGGTTTTGTTGAGCCCAGCTTACAAAAACAAAGCTCAGTTCTGATGAGCTTGAGTCATAGTGCACCCAGGGCCTGTTTTTTCTTTGTTTTTTTTCTAAGCTGCCTCATGTAAAACTACTCTGCTGCGTTCAAGTCATCAAAAACTAGGCTGATGGCATATGGGCTTTTCTTTAATGTTTAATTTTTTTGATTTCACAACTTCTGCTGCTTCACTTCAGGGTTTAAATATCACTAACAGGAAAAAAGTCACAACAAATACTAACTCAGTTTATAGAGTGAACTTGACCATTTCATATACAAAACATTGGATTGCTGTTCTCCCTGTTGAGACTTTCAGGCAACAAACCTACATGTATTTATTTTAAAAAAGATAACAAATTTGACTTGTTGGCTTTATCTTTAATATATTTGTGAGGAATCCCTGTTTTGTAATGCTTGTGATTGGCTTACCTTGATTCAAACGGTTGTCCTACCTCGTCTTTAAACCGAAGCAACTCGTCTCATGAGGGCAACAAGCAATCAGAAACAGAAAAGACTGTGGACAAACAGTGCACCTGCAGCTCACAAGTGAATGTAATGCACATCAGAATGGATCTGAAAGTTTCTC